CTTACCTGGGCTAAGGAGAAAAAGAAATGGTCTATGGCTCAGTGGTCCAAAGTCCTCTTTTCAGATGAAAGTAGTAGTTGCATTTCATTTGGAAATTAAGGTCCCCGAGTCTGGAGGAAGAGTGGAGAGGCACACAATCCATGTTGCTTGAAGTCCAGTTTGAAGTTTCCACAGTCAGTGATGATTTGGGGAGCCATGTCATCTGCTGGTGTTGGTCCTCTGTGTTTTCTCAAGTCCAAAGTCAACGCAGCCGTCTACCAGGACATGCTTCCTTCTTCTGACAAGCTTTATGGAGATGCTGATTTCATTTTCCAGCAGGACTTGGCACCTGCCTACACTGCCAAAAGTACTAAGACCTGGTTTAGTGACCACGGAATTACTGTGCTTGATTGGCCAGCAAACTGCCCTGACCTGAACCCTGTAGAGAATCTAAGGGGTATTGTCAAGAGGAAGATGAGACACGAGACCCAACAATGCAGACGAGCTGAAGGCCGCTATCAAAGCACCCTGGGCTTCCATCACACCTCAGCAGAGCCACAGGCTGATCGCCTCCATGCCACGCCGCATTGATGCAGTCATTCATGTAAAAGGAAGCCCAACCAAGTACTGAGTGCATACACATGAACATACTTTTCAGAAGGCTGACATTTCTGTATTAAAAATCTTTTTTTTTTTAAATGTTTTATTCAAATGTTCTGAGATACAGATTTTTGGCTTTTCATTAGCTGTAAGCCGTAATCATCAAGATTAAAACAAATAAAGGCTTGGCATATTTCTCTTTGTGTAATGAATTCATATAATACATGAGTTTCACTTTTTGAATTGAATTAATTAAATAAATTAACTTTTCCACCATATTCAAATTTATTGAGATGCACCTGTACAGTATATTCTGCCTCTAGAAAAATATCTGCAAAAAAAATCCAAGTTTCATACCTTAACCATTTCCGAGCCCAACAGGAAAAGGACACAGCCATTGAAATCATCTCATGACAAACCATGTTGTATCAAGACTTTTTTATTTTATTGTGATAATCTGATATTGTTGCAGGTCAGCATGCTGAGCAAGAGTTTCGGGGAGGTAGGTGACCCTAAAGGAGCCAGCACAGGGACAACCGGCTCTCAGTTCCTGGAGCAATATAAAACAGCCCAGGCACTTGCCCAGCTGGCAGCCCAGCACTCCCAAACTGGACCCCCCAACACAACCCATTCTTCCTGGGACACCAGTGGACCCTCACTGGGACAATACGGTGAGATGACACCCTACTGTAATTACTCCATTCTCTCCTTCGATTTTTTTTCGCAAGTTAAAGATAATGGCATAGAAAAACTGAACTGCTCTACGGGTTTCTTTACTAACTCTTTCTCCTCCTCTCTCACTGTCAGATATGAAGACTCAGCCAGAGCAAGCGGTCCATTCGCCCTTCACAAAGCGGCAGCCCTACCAGACCGGCACCTCGTCCATGTTGGATGTTTTCCTGCAGGACAAAGGCCTGCCTCCTTCCTCATCGTCTTCTCCCTCGCCCCACGCGGTGCCTCCGCCAGCTTCCTCCCTTCCCAAAATGGCAGCAATTCCTTCTCTAGGTCAGCAAGTTTCCCCGAGTTCCTCAGATGCCCATGGTTCAAGTCCTCTACCTTTGCACCAACACAAACTCAAACAGCAGAAGAAGAGGACTTCCATCTCAACAAAGGTAACAACAGCATTACATAGATAATATAATAAAGGTTCCATATGTGAAGTTTATTAATCTAGTAGACAACAACTGAATATTGCTTTACCTGACTTGATAAAGGGGTAAATGCCTATAGAAAAGCTTTGCTAAGCATCTAGGTCTCACTTCATGGACAGCAACTGAAAACTAGAGAATGCAATTCCTGAATAAATTGCTAGTGGGAATAGTGTTGCACGGTGTACCGATACTTGAAAGGTACCGCGATACCCTGCCGTTAAAAACTTTAAGATTCCTCCGTTTCATTAGTATCGGTACTTTAAGAATG